ATACCCTAAATTTTGATTGATCATGTTTCTTCCAATTTGAAAAATTTCCTTCATTATGTAATTTTCTTTCTTATTTTGTAAATTTTAATTATTTGTTATGGTATTAATAATGTTCTTTTCATTGATTTTAGATAGCAAATTATAAAACAAAAACTCTGTTTTATTGAATTACAACATAATTATAAAACAATCACAAGTTGAAATATGGTCACAAAGCCATCTTTATAGTTTACACTTATTTCTATCTATTGGCCTCGGCGAAGAGATCTCCTCCGTGAATACATAAGTCTAAGAGTTGAGACTCTTAAACACATCTGGCTTCAAGATGAAAATCCTCTGAAGCTCACTTGCTCTCTTCTTCATGTTCTGTTCTAGCTTGCCTTGCTGCTAGCAAATCTAGTCATGAAACACTGCATTTCCTTATGCTAAAGACAAAACAAGATATCAATTCAGGATATTCAAATACATGATATATAAAGTGTAAAGTATCATTTCCCAACCTACGTACAATACAAATACAACAGCTATAAGAAAACAAATAAGTTCCCAACAACATCATCTATATATGAACTCTGTAAATTCCGGTGACCTATCCACAAAACAAACATTGATTATAGTTCAAAACTATATGTAAGGCATGTATTACCCTGATAACAGTACTGTTTTACCTCAATTCTATCACCAGGCTTTCCATTATCAACTAGCTTATCATGCAGCAACAAGCTAACTGTGTGAGGAGTTCCTCCTTCAGGAATCTCATCAGGCGTTTCTTGAAGCCTCACAATCTGCTTATCAGCAAACCTGATTCACGAATGAAAGGGCATAAGTTACAGGATTAAAAACAGAGTCAGACAAAAATCTCTGTCTAGAACTTACCTGCAACGGTTGTGCACTAGTGTCATGGAGTTCTTGGCAAGACACTCTTGTTTCAAGCAAGTAGGAGGCTCACTTATTTTCCCTAACAATAAAACAAACATTGATGAAACAAACTATACAGACTTATAAAAAAACGATGGATAAAATCCAAGCGATCAAATTACCTCTATCCACGATGATGGGGTCAGAGAAGTATCCACAGATGAGGCATCTAAACACAGCTTACCTGCTTTCAGGAATGATAGAGCTACTTCGAATTATCATTCCTTTCAAAGAGATCATCTTCTCGATATCTGACCAAGCAAAACACACACTTAAACATAAGGTTAAGCTAGACACTAGAGAACTAAGAAACCTGGTTAAATGAACAAAAAAAACTAACCAGATGGATTGAGATTTCTCATGGAAGTAGAAGTCTTGAGGCTAAAAATCCTCACTTGGACATGTTTCTTGAACAAACGATTGATCGTGGAAACAATATCCATCAGCACAATATCAAAGATAGCGAGAACTTCCAAAGGGTACCGAACCATCTTGTTATACAAATCAGGATCATAATCGAACACATCATACGCATCAACATCGATCCAATCTCCTTCAATTTCAATCACCTTACGTATCGAAGCCATATACTTCCCCTCTCTAAACAATTCAGCACTATTCTCTTTAGCTTCTCTGAAATACTTCACAAACATCTCAATCGCCGATTTGACATCTTGTACACTGATGTTTGTTCCCCATACGAAAGTCGGAGTGGTATCGTCGGGGCCATCTTCGCCGTCTTCGGAAGAAGGTGGTATTTCGTCGGTGTACGATGGTGTCGTTGGGGTGCGTCCATTTCTCCCGTTGGATCTGGCGGCGGAAGGACGAGATGTGGGAGGAGTAGTGTTTGAGGATGCGAGACGTGAAGGCGGAGGAGGAGTGGCGAATTGGGTAGGTGTAGAGGATCTTCCTCTCCGGCGACGGTGGGGTGCGGCGGGGGAAGAGTATGTGTTACCGATAGGGCTGGAGGGGTTGTCTTCGGGAGATGAAGGAGCTGAGGTAGTGAGATTCGTCAAAATCAGTAAACAATTTCAGACT